AATCGGCCGATTTTATTTTTTAGCCGGAAATCATCGGTCGTTTCTTAGGCGCAGGGCCTCTTAAATATTTAACTTGATTATCAGATTTCACAGACATATTGGAGATACCAAGATTCAACTTATGAGCTATTCTTCTTTGCGGAGAATGAAATACCACAAAGCTGGTTTTTTCAATGTTCAGAGATAATTTGTTATAAATAAAAAGGATTAAAGATGATAATGAAAACAGTTAAAAGTTTATTTTTCATAACGTAACCGACACATAATAAATATTACTGTTTCTGATCTCAGGTGAAAAAGTGTTCCATAATGTTGTTGCTGCCACTGAAAATAGACTTCCTCTATAAGTTTAAAGTTGTCCTCTGTGTACTGTCCTTCTTGGTGTGGTTCCTAGGCTGCGTTCTCGTTGGAATTCCAATATGCTTAGATAGCGATAAAACGGAGAAAAGCTTTATTTAAAATACTCTGTGAATTAGTAACATGCTGGTTAAAATTCCTAGTTAAGCCTTGCACCGGGGTTGTTGATCAAATCCGGCTATTTCAAGAAAAGAAAACAAACTCTGAACTGCTTTCAATCAAAATATGCGAATTCGCCCTGTCTTCAAGACATGCATTAAAGAAATGCAAAATCGATTGCATTGAGTTTTTCTACTGGGAGCTTTTTAGTATCCAACTTGTCAAAAATAGAGAGGTCAACAGTTCTTACAGCGAACAATAGACTCGTCCGTCACGCAAACTCATCAAATGTATTATTCACAATTATTAATTACAAGTCAAGAGTATGTATTCATATACGCCAAAGACTCGATACGGGTATAATACAATTTATAATATAGATAGGACCCTGCGCGCGCTGTGATTGGTCAAAAAGCCATGTTTTATCAGAGTTTATAAAATAACTGAGATACTACGCACGCTCTGATTGGTTAATAGGTTGCTAAACCTATGTTCTATTGTATCGGTAAACCACGGTTCCCGATCTATGGCAGCTCTACGCGCGAACTAGAGAACTCGGAACTCTAGCGATAACAAATGTAATAAACAGTTATGCCTTTCAGTGGCTGAGATATCAATAACACGAATATATTTTCATTCAAAATAGCAATATGCAAGGAAAAAAAGGACCAGAAGTTGGTCGTCATATAAAGCTTTATCTGTTTTTTCCACAGCAAAAAGTTTACGCCGACTCCGGGTATGCTTGAGATTAAAATTAACG